ACCATACCACTCGTTACACAGAAAAATGGTTTGATTATTTTTCTTTCCGTCGCTTCTTCCTCCCGAGCTCTGTCACGAAGAACCCACCGAGCATCCACGTGGGCCACACCACACCCCATCGGCCAGGCATCCCGCCCATGCCGGTTGTCGACGCCCCTAGAAAGGCCGCGTCGTCGCCGCGCTCATGAACCCGCTAGCTGGGGTCATGCCCGCCTTGGCCAAGGCTACGCCCGCTAGTCGGGGCCACGCTGGCCAAGGCTGAGGCTACTAGCCAGGGCCGCACTCACCGGTCGATACCACGCCCCACTAACCGGGGCTGGGTTTCCATGGCCGCGCCCGCCGGCCGGGGCCGGGGCTGCTGTGGCCGCGCTCGCCCACCTCCGAGTACGCCAGCCATGAGCAAACTATGCCCACCCGCACGAGGATATCGGTCGTGAGCTCCGACTCCTCTGTCCCGCTGTGCTGCATGGTAGGGAGAAGAAAGAGATGGAGAGCTCTGACGCATGGGGCCCTAGTGGCGGCGAGATAGAGGGGGAGGTGGAGCTGTACCAAATGGTTTGGCGAATATCAGATCCACGGGGGATCTAGGTGAATCCTAGATCCAGATTCACTTTTTTGAGTGGTGGAGCGCTACCAAATAGGCCCTAAATCTATATTTTTTGTGGATATGGATTTCATGGAGCTGTGGTGTTTACCAAAAAATTTGTAGAGTGAGGCAAGTTTTTGCAGATCTAAATGTGATCGAGCTCTTCTAGGGTCTAGATATGGATGTCCCGTGGGATTCAAGCATTAACTCTCATAACCTTAGATTGCTACCTAATTTCATACTTACCCCTATTTTTTATAAACCTTTGACTTTTTTTATAGAATCAATCTTTGACTTAGCTTTAAAGTTTTGCACATTATACGTAGGTTAGTCCTCGATAGGAAGAATGAAGCTTGCACGTAATCGCACCATCAAATAGTAACTATCTTTCCGACAATGATCGTGAATTGATATGCCAAGGATGAAATAGTTGATGATCACCGCTTTCACACTCAATTTCAACTTGAGTATTACAACTCTATGTTTGTTGACAAAAGCAACAAGATTTTTAGGCACAAATACATTGATTGGGATCATTGCTTGTCTATAAATGATGAACCTCTCTCTCAAGCCTTAAATTTGTTAGATGCCAAGGGTTGTAAGCACATCATGTGCCTTAGATATAATTGGTCGGATGAAGTTATAGCACAATTTTATGCCACACTTGGATTTCTTGTGATGCAAACAACACCCGTCTAGGCCAAGCAATTAACTTTTCTATTGAGGGTGTGTATTATCCATGCTCATATGCTAAGGTTTGCCACAATTCTTGGGTTCACTCGTGCTGACTATAACAATGATGAGAAAATGGTCCTTTCTACATACAAAGTGCCTACCAATGAGGACATAGGTCACATGTATGTCGCTGATGCAAAACTTGACAACAGTGGCAAGGCTGACAACATGAAGCCATTTTTTCAGTATCTCAATCTTTTGGTTTGCAACTTTGTGTATTTGATTTGATTTGGATTGGAATATTGCAATGGAGCTGGAATCATCAAAAGAGCATCGCTCATGCACCATATATTATGAAGATGATTGAGCATGTCACTAAGACTGAGTACGTCACCGATGTGGCACATGGTCCGTATTTTCCCATCAAGATTGATTTAGAAGCTAAGTCAAAGCGCAGTCAGTCTCGTGGCACTTCTCAGGGGATCCATGGTTCACCTCATGCTCCTCCTACTGCTTCTCCATCTCCAAACTACCTTTTCTCAGCACCGTGAGCGGCGCAGCTTGATTGTGAGGATGTTGAAGTCACTGCTTGGTGCGTGTGCAAACTTCGCAGAACGACAATATCAGTTTGAGTTGCACATGACTGAACACATAAGGAGGATTGACAGTCGGACTCGGCAGCTTTGGGACCAAGCAGATATTCCAGTTTCTCCACTTCGTGAGGATGTGTTTGTGGTGCCTCCTCCCTAGTAGGTTGTGGATCCCTCCACTTGCCACTTTGACTACTCTCAGTTTCCTGAGGAGGATGCATATGAGGGAGCTCATACAGAGGATACATGTGATGCTACTTGGGATGCGGCCGCTAGTAGACAGGGTTTCCATCAGCGAGCTCAGCCTTGGGATCAGTGGGAGCCAGCCCCACGGTACAGTCAGCCACTACAACAACTTGCCTCTCCTCCGTCCGCATCTTAGACCCAGTGAGACCAGCAGCAGTACACAGAGCAGCCATACACACAGCAGTAGTCTAGTGGGAAACGGTGGAAATGGTAGCACACAGGCTTTCAGACTCCCTAGCCCGCTCGTCCTTCAGGCACTGACTTTGCAGAGTATCTTTTCCGTGGTGTTGGTGATGTCCCGTCTTCTTCAGTTGGTATCTCCACCATCTTCAGTGATCTTCGTGACTTCGATATGGATTGAAATTTGTCTTGTTTCTTCCCTTTTTGGCGCTTGACGACAAGGGGGAGAAGATCTTAGTGCATTCATGTCGGTTCATTATCTATCTTTATCTATTATGCTGGACCTCTTTATGTCTCATGTGATGTTGGTGATGGACTTTACCTATGTGGTGCTACGTTTGGACCTTAATCTCGTGGCAAGACATTTATGTATGCGTTATGTAAGACTTTGTGATGAACAATGTGATTGTAAACTAGTTGTAGAACTTCATTTATGCAAGATCATATTGCTAGCTTGTGTTGGTTTATATCTTTGTGGTGATGTATTGTTTCTTTTTGTTTATTGGGTGATATATATTTGTCATATATGCATCATAGTTTTATTGCCTCACACATTGTTGCACCCCACAAATTCATATACATAGGGGGACCTGACACATTTCCTAATTTTGTGCAAATGTGGCGTTTCGTGGCCTTGAAAGAATTCAATTCTATATGCACAAATTTAGGGGGAGCAAATTCTATGATCATGAATTGAAATGTGTTTCAATTATAATATCTTTTGTAAGCTTTGATTTGGTTGTCATCAATCACCAAAAAATGAAGAGATTGAAAGTGCATTAGCCCTCGTTGTGGGTTTTGGTGGATTATGGCAAGCAATCAAAGATCTAATGTGTTATCAAGTGTTTGAGCAGGTTTAATCTAAGTCAAAATGGCGCATTTAAGGAATAACAGCCCTCCAATTTTATTGAAAGATGAGCTGTGGCATATGGAGCATCAAAGTGCTTTATATTCTTTATCTTTCGCATTTGAGTATAGAAAAATGCCGCACTATAAAGAGGGATTCAAAGTATTGATCTTGCAAGTGTCTCAATGCTCAAAAAGTGGCCAACTAACCCCTTTATTTACCCAAACATCCATGCGAAAAAGGTTTAAGCAAAAACTATTTTTTAATTGGCCCTGGCTGAAAGCTCCTACCAGAGCTTCGGTTCTCCAAACCGGAGCTCCGATATTTACTCTAAAATTATTTTTTTCTGAACCTGAGCACCTCCACTAGAGGTCTAGTTCTCCAAACCGGAGCTCCGGTTCTGAGCAGACTAACTTGCTCCAGATTCGTTTTCGGAGCTCCAGTTTCCACCATAGGTCCGATTTTTTGCATTTCAACACTCCAACGGCTGGATCTGAGAGGGGTCATATTTAAACTCCCTCTCTCTCCAGCCATACCTCTTCACCTACCTTGAGCCAAAACGCCCGTGTGCCATGACTCTCCATTCCCCCTCTCTCTCACACACACACCTTGCTTTGACTTGAGAGCTTGCTTTAAGTATGGATTTGAGAGGAGACTTGCTTCAGAGTTGAGATTTGAGCCTGCAAACTTCACATCGATTCTCTTGAGCATCTGAGACTTCTACAAGGCTTGCTTTGAATTTATTACTCTTGGGTTCTTGAGTCCTAGTCGGCAAAGAGTTGTCCGAGAGCTTCCAACTTGTGGATCCGCCTCGGTAAGTTTGTATTACCCATTTGTTCTTAGTGGATTTCTCAAGTGAACTTCGTGATCACTTTGAGCGAGGCAAGGAGGTGGAATAGACTCCGACTTTTATTGTCACCTCAACAACGGGGACGTAGGCATTCCTGTGGTTTGGCCAAACCTTGAATAAAATCGTGTCTCTTGTGCTCTACTTTGTTCTGGTTGTTTTGTGCTATTTATTGTGAAATACTTATATTTGAGTGCAGGAATCATTAGAAGACAACTCTATCTTCACTCTACAAGTCTGGTAACGAATTGTATCTCATTTCGACTGTAGATCTTGTAGTTTGAGTAAAGGTTCCGCTTAGACTAAACATCTGATTTCCATTGGATATCCGGTGTCAAAACCGGACATCCCAACCATACTAATTTCCGCTATAAGTTTCTTTATAAGATAAGATTTTTAGATTACGTCCATTCACATCCCTAGGCCTCAACTGATCCTTTCACCCTTCCCTTTTCCTAGGAATGGATCTTGCTTCCCTGCTCGCTTTTCCTAGGAATGGCTCCGAGCGGCCAGCCGGCGAGCAGGGAGCAGCGCAGGTCCGCCCATCCGCAGGTCACCCGGCAGGGGGCCTTTCTCTTCTTCTGGATTGAAATTTGTAAGTTCAAACCCAGTCAATTGGCTTCCCAATTTCCCATTCAATACATTACAGACAACAGTTTGTGAATCACTTGCAAATCAAATTGTAATGAGGGAGAATGAATCACAACAATTTTGTGAATCACTTGCAAATCAAATTGTAATGAGGGAGAATGAGTCAGTCCGCAAAATGATTTACTATTCCATGAATTTATGAAATCACATGCTCAATTTATAGATTTGCTATATATTATACAATGAGAACTATGCGGTGTTATACATGCCAGGCTTTAGGTTTTGGTTATTAGGTTGCCAAAATTTATTTTGACACCGTTTCATATTTTCAAATACCCAAGGCCAAAATCCTAGGCCCGCCATTGTTGGTAGACGACACCTCCGCCGCCATCCCCAACTTCGGTTAGGGTTTTAACTCGCTCGTGGCCTGCCCCGAAGATGCCACGGACCCTGGTGCAGCCGGTGGGGCAGAAGCGCCTCACCAACGTGGCGGTGGTGCGGCTGCGCAAGCACGGCCAGCGCTTCGAGATCGCGTGCTTCCCCAACAAGGTGCTCTCCTGGCGCTCCCGTGTCGAGAAGGACATCGACGAGGTGCTCCAGTCCCACACCGTCTACTCCAACGTCTCCAAGGGCGTCCTCGCCAAGTCCAAGGACCTCATTAAGGCCTTTGGCACTGACGACCAGACCCAAATCTGCATCGAGGTACCTTTTGAATCCCCTCTACGATCCAATGCAGTCTCCTGTGCTCCCTCCCTGTGACCACACCTTGCTGCTTCTTCAGATTCTGGAGAAAGGGGAGCTCCAGGTCTCCGGCAAGGAGAGGGAGGCGCAGCTCTCCAGCCAGTTCCGTGATATCGCCACCATCGTCATGGAGAAGACCATCAACCCGGAGACCCGCCGCCCCTACACCATCACCATGATTGAGCGCCTCATGCGCGAGATACACTTCGCTGTTGACCCAAATCTCACCTCCAAGGAACAGGTACCTAGATATCAACTAGTTGGATGGAATTATTAATTCAGCAATTTTGTTAATAGGTAGGGGTAGGGCTACCGATTGAGTTTGAGTTTTGTTATACAGCACTGAATTTATCACCATGTAGGGCTGGTTTTTATTTTTAACACTGAATTCATCATCATATATATCTTAGTGTGTTGCTCTTATCTATGTGTTTTTCAATAGCTGGCCAGTTTTTCTCTTCTATCTATACTAGATTATAAAACAAGAACACTGATGTGATGACTCATGAATTAATTTCTCATTTCTCTTCCTGTGGAGTTGCAATTGCAACTTAACACCATTAATGACTGTATGAAAAAAGATAGGTGCCTTTGATGGATTTGGTAACGCCACAATATTGCTAATAGGATGGGCCGAATTTTTTATTTTCCAGCCATTTTTTGAAAAATATTTACAAATAGACCTCTGGTGGTTTGATTTTCGTTTATGGACCCTGACCTCGGCGCCATGCCTTTTGGCGCCGAGGAAACACGTCTCGGCGCCATGGCCAATGGCGCCGAAGTCTTGGCGAGGCGTCGGACGTGGCGGTGACATGGCGTCGACGTGAACAAGGCCTCGGCGCCATAGATCTTAGCGCCGAGCTCGGCGCCGTAGATCTTGGCGCTGAGCTATTACCCTATAGATCTTGGTGTTTGAAATGAAACAAGTATAATTGTTCCGAGGAACATGCAACAACGCCATTGTGGTTCAGTTGGTTAGGACGTGCGCGACTTAGCTCAAAGGCCTAGTTCAAACCCCAGCGCTGAATCTTTTTTTGCTACATTTTTATAAGCAATAGAACAAGAAAAACTATTTCGAGAAACATGCAATGATCCCATTGTGGTCCAGTTCGTTTGGACGCACGGGTCTCAGCCCACAGACCTGGGCTCAAACCCAAGCAGCAAATATTTTTTGTTAAATTTTTATTTTATAAGCAATTACAACAAGAAATATTATTCCTTTATTATTAGGGTCCTGGGTTTCACCGCACATTGTATATTATTGTTCCATTGTTCCACCGTACACTGTATATTTAATTTATTTTTTATTTGATTTTGAAACATTACATACCTTGATCAAGTTGAGTTGAGTGACGTGTTTATATATATCTTGTTGCTTGGTCGTCCTTTTACTTACATGCATATGGCTTTTGTCATCATATATAAGTTGAAGGCTTTCGAGACAAGGAGTAAATAAATAAAAGAATTTATTTTACATTAAGTAAGTGTAATTTTCTTTGCCTCCCTATTTCAGTGTTAAGCTCTTTAATTTGCATACCTTCCTATTTTACATAAAATATAATTAACAAGAAGAATGAATTTAATGTATTAACTAAGAGCTTCATGTTATCATCATTTGGACTGTTCAACTAAGTTTGGTGAGAAACGGAGGAGGATCTCCCCCTCGTAAGAAAAACACTACTACCAAGGTATATAAACTAATAAATAAATAAATACATCCATGATTATGATAATATAAGGAGGATTTGGATTTAGATAATATATAAATAAATGCACCTTGAGATGTATCCTTCATCCAAAATAAATTACAAATTAGTGAATAGTGTTCTCTCATGTTAATAATAACAAAGTTTGGTGGAACCCAGGACGTTAGTGATAACTAAGTAAGCAAAAAAATGATTAATAAATGCAGCAAACAAAATTTGCCCGCTGGATTTGAACCTAGGTCTCATATTAGACCAAGCATCCTAACCAATTAGACTACAACTGAGATATAGCATGTTTCTTGAAATAATTTTTCTTGTTCTATTACTTATAAACAACAACAACAACAACAACAACAACAACAACAACAAAGCCTTTAAGTCCCAAACAAGTTGGGGTAGGCTAGTCCTATTGCTTATAAAAATATAGCAAAAAAAAAGATTCATTATTTGGGATTCGAACCCAAACCTTTGAGCTAAGTCGCGCGTGTCCTAACCAGCTGAACCGCAATGGCGTTGTTGCATGTTCCTCGGAATAATTATACTTGTTTCATTTCAAATGCCAACATCTATAGAGTAACAGCTCGGTGCCAAGATCTACGGCGCCGAACTCGGTGCCAAGATCTATGGCGCCGAGGCCTTGTCCACGTCGGTGCCAGGTCACCGCCACGTCCAACACCTCGCCAAGACCTCGGCGACGTGTTTCCTCGGCACCAAAAGCCATGGTGCCGAGGTCAGGGTCCATAAACGAAAATTAAACCATCATAGATCTATTTGTGAATATTTTTCAAAAAAAGGGCTGAAAAATAAAAAATTCGGTAGGATGGGCGGATGATTGAGTTTTGGGTTTTAGTTTTACAACACTGAATTCATCGTCATATATAGCATAACAAATTATAGCGTAGCTACAGTTGCATGGCCATTAACTGCGTATCACATATACCTTGATTCTGAATTTGTATACTTCAATGAATGATTATCGGCTATCATATATTTTGTATAGCGTAGTACTTAGAAACTTGTCAATATTACCTGTTCTCTGGACATGATGATAGACACAGAGCTACTTGGCCATGTGAAATTCCTTTGTCTACCATCGTACACGCTTTTTTTTTATCTGTGTTCCCTTTGGTCTTGCAGGCTCTTAAGGTTATCAAGAAGCTCATAGAACACTTCCCCATAAAGCGTGCACCACTGAGGGTGCGGTTCACTACAAGAAACCGGGACTTTGCCCAGTGCTCAAATATTTGCGAGTGTCAAATATCGGGCACTCGGCAAAGACCACCTTTGCCGAGTGCCGCACTCGGCGAAACTTGGCACTCGGCAAATAGGGCTTTGCCGAGTGTCTGGCACTCGGCAAAATAAGGCACTCGGCAAAGCCAAACTTTGCCTAGTGCCAGACACTCGGCATAGTTGGGCACTCGGCAAAGAGGCGCCCGTGGATAACGGTACCTAACGCCGTCCTCTTTGCCGAGTGCCTTCTATTTGGCACTCGGCAAAATATTGGCTTTGCCGAGTGCCTAGGGTTAGCACTCGGCAAAATATTCACTTTTTTAGAGTGCCAAACCTTGGCTTTTCGGCAAAATAAATTTTTTTTTTGTTTTTGCCACCAACTTTTTTCTTAGATTTGTATTTGTACCATGAACAACATGTTCAAATTTGGCATAATTTCATTCTTGTTTGCTATATTTCTTCACTTTATTTCGTTTTCTTGCAATTTTTAGGAAAATGTAGGTTTGAACTGCAGGTGCATCGAATAATAGTTTTGATCCATTTCAAAATGTTATTCTTGTTTGTTAGTGTCACTTTATGCTAAATCTAAGGCATCTCCAAATTCGATCAACGTGCTCCGCAGGGGCAGCGTCGCGAACTTTTGCGTGCAGTGGTTATTTAATTCTATAAAATTCAAAGCGAATCCGAAAATCATGAAACTTAGCGAGATGTCGTGATATCACATGCATATACGGTGGTAAAAATTTGAAAACATTTGGAGGCGTCATCACATATGGTGTTCCACAAACAGACATCATCACATGTGATATCGGATATAAAATGTGATGAATCTGATTTGTGAACACCATATGATGATGACGCCTCCTCAAATGTTTTCAAATTTTTACTGAAATAAATTTGCAAGAAAATTTGCAAGATATAAAATTGCAAGAAAACGAAATAAAGTGAAGAAATATAGAAAAACAACAATGAAATTGTGCCAAATTTGAACATGTTGTTCATGGTACAAATACAAATCTAAGAAAAAGTTGATGGCAAAAAAAAAAAAAATTTATTTTGCCGAAAGTGCCAAGGTTTGGCACTCGGCAAAAAGAATATTTTGCCGAAAAGTGCTAACCCTAGGCACTTTCGGCAAAGCAGGACAGATTTTTTTTAATTTTTATTTCACGAGTGCGGATCGGGGCACTCGGCAAAATAATTTTTTTGCCGAAAGTGCCCCGGATCTAGCACTCGGCAAAGAGGTTTGAAATATAAAAAACGGACACGACACACACACACACACACACACACACACACACACACACACTGCTGCTGGCCGCCTGTATGCCCAGCCCAGATCGCCGCCTGAGCCCGCCAGCATGCTGCCCTGCCCACGCTACCCCGGCAGCCAGCAGATAGGAAGGAGGAGGAGGTAGGAGGAAGAGGAGGAAGGAAAGGAGGAAGGAGAAGAAGGGGAGGAGGAAGAAGAAGAAAGAGAAGGGAGGAGGAGGAGGAGGAGAGGAAGGAGAAGGGAGGGAAGAGGGAGGGGAGAAGAGAGGAGGAGGAGGAGGAGAGAGGAGAAGGGAGAAGAGGAGAAGAGGAGAGAGAGGAGAAGAAAGGTGCCGCCTCGGTTCGTCGACCCTCACAATGTAGCGGTCGTCCCGTTGTTGTCGCCGCCATGACCCTCGGTCTTCGCAGATTCTCATTTGGCAAGGTATGCCCTAATGTTAGTATTAGTTAGTAAGTAGTAGTGTTAGTAGTAGTAGTTAATTAGTAGTGTTAGTATTAGTTAGTAAGTCATAGTGAGTGATGTAGTAGTTGTAGTTGTTGTTCATAGTTTTAGTGTTAGTAGTAGTTATTGTTGTATGTATGTGGTTGATGGCCTTCGTGCCTATGTTTGGTATACATGTGGTTGTTGGCCTTCGTGCCAATGTTTTCTATAGGTTTTGGGAACCTCTCCGTGCAGGGGAGGTGCTGATGAAATTTTCAATGGATTCTAACCATTTGCCTTTTCTTTGCTTGGGGACGAGGACCGTTGGGAGGCACTCGGCGACCCGATCGTCTTCGTCGGCGTTGCGGTTCTGGGATTGCTCGCGTCGCCTGCCGCCTCGCGGCGACGCCTCGCCCCCCACTAGCCCGACCTCACCGACACCCTAGGTATCTCGTGTAACCTCAGGTATAACCCATCTTCCATACTTGTATCTCGTGTAACCCCGGTTAGGCGTCTCTCCGTCCAAAGAAAGAGATACGGTCGTTGGTATATGAGATCTTTGCATACCAAATTCGCACCTATTTCGGATTGTCCACGTTTTTTGGACAGCCAGCGGATGCGTAGATGGGTTGGTTTCGTGGCCCGCTCTGTCCGAGAGATAGAGTTTGGCACCACCTCCTCGTTGTTCTCTCGATACACAATCTCCCTGCCGGGGCGTGTATCGGGAGAACAATGGGAGAATCTTCGCCAAATACATCTTGGATAGGAGTGGACCATGGAAGCCAACCTCATCTACATCATCCTCGGTGGGATTAGGACCTATCCTTCACCTATTAGATGTATAGTAGGAACGCCTTGTGGATTTACCTGTAGTTTTTATTACTCGCTTACATATGCATGTGCCAGAGGATGGATAACCATGAGTGGATGTACACGGGCCACGCAAGTATGACCCCAGAATGGATGACCAAGACCAATGCTTTCCTAGAGCATGCATTTGGCGAGGCTACTAAAGGGTCAGCCCGGATGCCGTGTCCGTGTAGCAGATGTGGCAACAAGAAAAGAAAAATTAAGAGGCTCGTGGGGGAAGATCTTATCAAGTATGGATTCACGGCAAACTATACCCGCTGGATCCACCATGGTGAAGCCGATCGTATTAGAGAGGAGGTGGTGAGACAGCGTCTCGAGGATTATGATGGAGATGGCGGGGTAGTAGACTGGATGGATGACATTCAGCAGGCACGGTTCGGTGAAGGATTGGAGGAGAAGCCAGAGGAAAGCGCAAAGGCGTTCTATGATATGCTGTCTTCAGCGCAGAAGCCCTTGCACGAAAAGACAACGGTATCGCAGCTGAATGCAATTGGACGCATCATGGGGTTGAAGTCACAGTTTAGCATGAGTCGGGACAACTTTGATGGTATGTTGGCAGTTTTTGGATCCCTGCTTCCGGAGGATCACATCCTACTAAAGAACTTGTACGAGTCACAGAAACTTCTTCGTGCACTTAAGATGCCGTATGAGCAGATCCATGCTTGTCCGAATGGATGCGTCCTTTTTAGGAAAGATCACGAGGGAGCAACGCACTGTCCAAAGTGCAAATCCTCTAGGTACCTGGAGGTCGACACTAGTGATGGCAAGAAGGAATAGTTGAGTATCCCTACGAAGGTCCTACGGTACCTTCCTTTCATACCGAGGATCCAACGGCTGTACATGACAGAGGAGTCCACGAAACAGATGACATGGCACAAAAATGGCAAAAGATACAATCCGGACAAGATGGTACACCCATCGGATGGCGACGCCTGGACCCATTTCGATGGCATACATCGTGTTAAAGCTAAGGAGGCTCGCAATGTACGTGTAGCGTTGGCAACAGATGGGTTCAACCCGTATGGATTGTCCGCGGCCCCATACACTTGTTGGCCCGTGTTCATGATACCCCTGAATCTCCCCCCCCCCCGGTGTCATCTTTCAACCCAAGAATGTATTTTTGTCATTTGATAATTCACGGACATCCGGGAACAATATGGGTGTGTTCATGGAGCCTGTGTTCGATGATTTGATCGATGCTTGGGAAAAGGGGGTACTGACATACGACCGAGCTACAAAGAGAAACTTCACAATGCATGTGTGGTACCACTACTCCCTGCATGACTTCCTGGCGTATGGCCTATTCTGCGGGTGGTGTGTTCACGGGAAGTTCCCATGCCCAATATGCAAGGCAGGTGTGAGGTTCACTTGGCTGAAGAGTGGTGGCAAGTTTTCTTCGTTTGACCAACATCGTCAGTTCCTCCCCCTTGACCATCCATTCAGACGAGACATCAAGAACTTCATGAAAGGTGTTGAAGTCACCGATCATGCACCTCAGATGATGACCGCTGTCGAGATCCACGCTGAGATAGAGGCTCTCAAAGTTGATAAAGAGAAAGGTCGTTTTGATGGATATGGTCAGTACCACATGTGGACTCATAAATCGGGCTTGACTAGGCTTCCCTATTTCAACGATCTTCTTCTTCCACACAACATTGATTTAATGCACATAGAGAAGAATATCGCCGAGGCACTTTGGGGAACACTCATGGACACAGGAAAGTCAAAGGACAATGTTAAGGCAAGAGTGGACCTGGCAGCACTGTGCGATAGACCAAAGCAAGTGATGAAGACTCCCGTGCCTAGCAAGAAATGGAAAAGGACTTCGGTCGATTTTGTTTTGAAGAAGGGGCAAAGGAGGGAAGTATGTCAATGGGTTCAGTCGTTAATGTTCCCTGATGGGTATGCGGCGAATCTGAGGAGGGGAGTGAACATGTCCACTTGCCGAGTGTTAGGGATGAAGAGTCATGACTTCCACATATGGATTGAGCGGCTCCTTCCAGTGATGACCAGAGGTTTCATCCCCGAGCATGTGTGGCGCGTCCTGGCAGAGTTGAGCTATTTCTTCCGCCAGCTTTGTGCCAAGGAGATATCTCGGGCCGTGATTGATGACTTAGAGAAAGTGGCACCTGTGTTGCTCTGTAAGATGGAGAAGATCTTCCCACCGGCTTCTTCCTCTCAATGCAACATCGATTTTGCACCGCCTCACGAGGCACGAATGGGGGCCCATGCAAGCCCGTTGGTGCTATCCAATCGAGAGATGTCTAAAGGTTCTTTGGAAAAAGTGTAGAAATAAAGCCGTAATTGAGGCATCCATGGCGAGAGGCATTCATTCTTGAGGAGGTGTCAAACTTCACAACATCATACTATAAGGATAGCCTTCCTAGCGTGCACAATCCAATCCCTCGTTACAACAACCGACGAGAGGTCATCAAATCTTAGCCTTTTCAAAGGTCAACTTGGCGTGGCAAGCGCTTGAGCACCAAGACCTTGTGGAATGATGAGTGGCACACTATCATGTTGTATGTGTTGTTGAACCTTGTGAAGTGAACCCTTATGTGCAGTAAGTTCTCAATGAGCTTGTTACATACGCCGTCACTATCGTCTATCTATCCAACCCCCTTGTCTCTTGCTTTTTTAGGGAATTTCTGAATACATACTGGACAGGAAATAGGGATCCTTCCCCTCAAGAACAAGATAGTCTTCTCAAAGATGGTGTGCCCGATTTCATTTCATGGTTTGAAAAGAAGGTACCATCCAATTTACATCATTCCATCTGTGACATCCCACTTTGCTCCTACGAGCTTAGTAATGATCTATCCGCCCTCACCTTACGAGCACACGCACGGATGTGGAAATGGATGAAGAGTTGAAATAGGTTGTCAAAGGCTTCCCCTATAGGGTCAAGTCATTCACCGTATATGATGTGAATGGCTATCGCTTCCACACAAGAAGCCACGAGCTCAGTCGGCCCAATCGAAAAACCACGAATCTTGGAGTTAAACGCATGAAAGACAGATGACCGCGACTACTATGGCATAGTCGAAGAAATATACGAGCTCAACTTTGAGCTTCACGGAGGTCATAAGCCAGTCGTATTCAAATGCCATTGGTTCGATCCCAATGTCACGAGAAGAGCTCCTGAGATTGGACAAGTTGAAATTCGACAAGATTCCCTCTATCAAGGAGACGATGTCTATATTATGGCTCAACAGGCCACATAAGTTTATTATCTTCCATGGGCGTGCCAAAAGATTCCACTCTTGAGGGTTGGTACCTTGCTTGTGATTGGTATCACCGCATGGCAAAGTGCCTATCCCAAACGGTGTGGATTACAACTTTGACCCAAACACATATCTGAGGGGAGTTCTATCAACCCGAGGGGCTAGATGGCACGTTTGACATAGACATGTTTTTGTTGATGGGCATGGAAGTAGACAATGACATTGATGAGGACGATGGAGATGAGGACGATGGAGAAGAGGTGCAAAATGCCAAAGACTTAGTAATCGCTTGAGCGATTATGGTTTTGGCGTTGCCATTGATGACAACGATGGAGATGAGGCGGAAATGTTAGACAATATTGATAGTGATGGCGACACTTATGATCCTTTGCCGATCCCGAGGATTATTTCTAATTCATGTAATACTATATTATTATTATTTTCTAGTTATGTTTCGTTCATTTTGCATCTCTATATTTGTCTATATTGTGCTAACTGGTTTACTCTTTGTATTTGCAGGCACTCGACAAAATGCCGGGCGGAAGGCGGCCCCAGACCTGCAACTCGCTCTACGCGAGGACGACTCAGGAGGCGGAGGCGGAGGCGGAGGCATCGGCGAGGAGCCGTCCAGCCCGCCGCCCCCATGGCCGTCGAGGAGGAGGCGTGCGATCATCTGTCGTCCCCGCCCCGAGGAGGACCGGACGACGACCAGCGACAATGAGGACGATGAGGACCAGACAGGGAGGGGTGACCCCCAGATGGGAGGGGGTGACACTTCCTCTGCAGGGGGGTGGCGGGGGGTTCCACTTCGAGCACCTCATCAGTACCGTACTTGCGCGGGTCCTCGCAGCTCCCGGTGTGACCGATCCCGTTTCAGAGGAGGCCGGTGATTCGTCCCAAGGGCGACAAGTAAGTATCCGTTCAATTTGCATCTCTTCTTGTTCATATGCTGAAAACCGAACTGCGGACTAACAATTCTTCTTCTCGACTCGAGGAACCGGGAACTGTGTCTCAGGGGCGATCATCGGTAGTGCAATGGGATCCTCGGTGGCTGATCCACTTTGCACTACTGGTTTGGTCACCACGCCTGAGTTGAGTCGCCCCACAGACGTGGGACCACTTCAACTCCACTGCGTGGGACGCCGTGTACACATGCACCGCATGAGAGCGGATCAGCGTGAGTTCGGGTGAGTCTACATCACACTACATTGCTCAATACTATGAATTCATTAGACGTTCTTGAAATAATGAAAGGACACATGATGTATGTATGCAAGACTTTTTCACGTTGGAGGAGGGCATGACCCGCACTGGTGACGAAGGAAAAGGTGGGGCGATGGGCATGCAGGGGCCGAGTCACGGACCTGTACTACGAGGCGAGGCTGTAGTGCCACATCAACCACTCGTGCGACGTCCTTCGTCGATACCCGAGGAAGAGCGAGGCCAGGACCATGACACTCACCAGGGAGCAGTACCTCGCAGTAAGTTATAAAACATTGTTACTGACTCATTCCATGAAGAATAGGTAGCCTTCATTTTATATTCTAACATTTCTAATACTTGATGGCATGCAGATGTGTCCTTCTTGGTGCGCCACCCACAGAGATCACATGCCATCGTGGACAAGTGGGTCTCCGATGAGTGGAGGGAGAGGCACGCCCTCCGTCGGGAGTGCCGCCTGCAGATGGGTGGGCTGGCGCACCACCAAGGCAACCGGCCCCTCAGTTCATACGCCCAGGCCTGGGTACACGCTACGCACTTATTTATTTATTTGTTCTAACGCTCAATTCTCATTACTTCTAATCGTCTTTGTGTTTTCCTCGCAGTCCCAGTCACATGATGGCCAGGAATGCAACGAGTTCATGGCATACGCCATGGCGCACAAGGGCAAGGCGACAGCCTCGGACACCATCTACAACCCGGAGGACGGGGCCGAGGCGTACAGCAACACGAGCGTCCACAGCAAGCTCACCGACTACGCCTCGGCGGCCCGCGAGCGGCATGGGGAGGACTTCGACCCCGCCACCCAACCCCTTGATACCGACCTCGTGATGAGGCTTGGAGGAGGGAAGCAGCACGGCCGGTACTGGATGGCCTCCAACATGGTCGACTCGACCTCTGTGCCCAACCTCGCCCAGATCCGAACACAGAGCACGAGCTCCTCCGTCCCCATTCGACCTCGGTAGGCGAGCACACTACAGCAGATGGCGGCACTCCAGGTTAGTTCTATTTCATTCGCCGTTCATTACTTTTACACATGTACCTTGCATTTGCATTGTTTAAACGTTGGTGATTGAATATTGCAGGCCACTGTGGAGAGGATGGAGGCCGAGAGGGAGAGAGAGGGTCGAGAGGGAGAGGGAGAGGGCCCGGAGGAGGGAGGCCGAGAGGGCCGAGTGGGAGGTCTGAGGGGGCCCAGGGAGGGCGGGCGAGGCTTGAGAGGATGTAGGACATGTTCTCATTCATGTCGAGCCTCGGCACCACTCTCCCGGGTGTGGTGGTGCCTGAGTCATTGCTTCGCTCGATTGTGCCTCCTACTCCTCTGGCTCTAGGCACTCCGGTGAGTATATATATATATGGTTGATCAAGTCCTTTAGCTTGTGTAGATACTAATTAATTCAATTTTCCTTTGTGCATCAACAGTCGTCGGGTTCGAACCCGACTCCTTCGCCTCAGCACACACACTGGTGGACAGGTCCACCACGCACGGAGGTGCCCCTTGAGCTCCCATTGGGATCGGTGGCGATGGGTGGTGCCCCTTCATGTTTCATTGACTTTTCTTGATCTAGGACTTGTGTTGGATGAAGACTTCTTAGATGTTGTCATGGATTTGCACATTGGATGTGCGTGTGATGGATTATATGAGGAGGATGTGCTTGTGATGGATGTTGGATGTGCTTGTGATGTATTATGGATGTATGTGATGAATTATGTGCGTTTTGTGTGATGCTAAATGCATGTCTTTGTCTCATGTATTATATATGAGTTTTGCGTGTTTGCTTTGAAGGAAAGCAACAAAAAAAAAAAAATAGCAAATTTCCTAGCTTTGCCGAAAGTGCCAACACTAGGCAAAGAAGTCTTTGCCTTAGAGTGCCGGGGTGTGGCACTTTCGGCAAAGCTGGAAAAAAAAATCTTTGCAAAAATAGCCACTTCCCCAGCTTTTGCCGAGTGCCATGACTGGCACTTTCGGCAAAGAGGTCAATTTTTTGCCGAGTGTCGGTGGTACCACTCGGCAAAGACTATTTTAAAAAGATTTTTTAAAAAATGGTTTCTTTGCGAGTGTTTGAGCCACGGCTCTCGGCAAAAATTCAAATTTTGCCGAGTGCAGGTCCTAGGCACTCGGCAAAGCCAGCGTCAAATGTTGTGGCGGTTATTTTTTTGCCGAGTGCGGGCTTGGCACTCAGCAAAGACTTTGCCGAGTGTCGATTTTTGGCACTCGGCAAAGAAATTTTTGCCGATAAAATCTTTGCCGAGAGACCTTTGCCGAGTGCGGCACTCGGCAAAGCCTTTGCCGAGTGCTTGGCTGGCTTTGCCGAGTGCCCACAGCACTCGGCAAAGAGGGCGTCTGCAGTGGTGGTTCACTGCACCAAAGTTCAATTTTACTGGCCTTATGGAAAAGGTTGCTGAATGGAATGCTACTGTGATTTCAAAGGATGAATCTGGCACTCAGCCTTCTATTGTAAGTCTTTTAATTCTTTTTTTTTTTTTCTGGTCATTCATGTGTGACGTGATTCTGATATCGGCTAGTAGTTATTTGTCTCACATGATTAACAGCCTAGAAGCTTGGTCCATGTTATCTGTAGTAAATGTTTAAAAATCACAATGCTCGAGTTGGCCCATGGGAGGTGCCTAGCGCCTGATCTCCAATTAGAAAGAATAGGTGGAGATTATGCGCCTCCAAAGTGGGCTGTTTTTAGTGTTTTTTTCCCCTTTTTCGTGTTGCTGATGGGATCAATTGCTGAAACCAAAATGCCTCTCTATGCTGAACCTTATTATCATGAGCTTACTACATTTAACTGTGGATGTGGATACCTTTTTACAGGTATGTGACATTGAGCTATCTATTCTACGCTCATGTGAGGACCAGCTGAAGGATGTGCAAGGGAGGGTGGAAGTGCTGCCTGTCTCAGCGCATGCAGAGGGTGGCCCATCTGTGGAGCAACATGACAGTGTCAAAGTGCCACAGGCAGCTCCTGCAAAGGAGCCTGGTGCTGTTGCTCAGATAAGCGAGACAATGCAGAAACAGAGCATTTCTACTGAAAGCCAGGGCAGTGCACAAGGCAAGCCGCAGAGAAGGTGCAGGGAGTGTGATGTGCTCGTGGAGGACCAGCTATACAGAGAGCACTGCAAGAGTGGGTGGCACAAGCACAACTACACACGCCACAAGAACAGGCTCCCCCCTCTGAGCCAAGAGGAGTGCATGGTGGAGATGGAATTGGCCGACTCCAAGAAGGACCTTAAAGACTACGATTTCTGATGAGGTTAGTTGGAAGTTCCTTTGACATGTGATCTTGTGTTCGGGCACTGATGCTGTCTGTCTAATGCTTCCTATGACCCATCTTATCCAGGATGATTAACGAGGGGTGTACAGGGCATGGAGTTGTTGCCAGTTTTTTTTTTCTGAGGAAGTGAGGAGCGAGGGCACATGGTCGTTTTCTGATGTCATGCTGTATAGTTGAGCAGTGAACCTAGTTTTGTGAGATGTGAGGAATTGTTAGAATGAAATGGTTTAGCCACATCGTTGAACTGCAAACAAGTCTGGGAGTACAACCTGGCTGTCTGGATGGCTTTGTATAGTAGCCGAATGAACTTGGTAGTGGCACTTGGGTGCTCGTTGGGCGTTGGATGTTCTGTAACGGCACCCTATGCGGGCTAGAAAGTAGAAACTTTATGGTGGATCAAGTTATTTAATAGTACGACTTATATGACTTATCTGTATCCTTTCTGGTTGTTTGGTTTGTGGTAGCCTCGCCTTTTGTTGTTGCTACACCTGATGGTAAGTTCATTTGAGATGGCGAAGCTGACATGAGGCGGCTTGGTAGCTGTTTTATATTGGGAGAAGAAAACTTGTGGCATGGTTTTTCTGTTTGGGATTGCGAAAGGAAATTTACATTTGCTTGGAGACGGCTAAATGCATGCGTTGCTACTGACAAAAAAAAAGTTTCATGCATCTTAAGGTCTTGTTTGGATGCATGTGTATCCACCTCGATCCGCAAGTGAAATGGCATGAAATTTAGTTCAATTCAACTTCAACATGCGCATCAAAATAAGGCCTAACATGGCTGCCTAATTAAAAGAAAGATACACAGACATGCATAGTGTTGAATTCATATATTCATTGAATATGAATCGACAACGGTAAATCAAACTGCGCCCATGAGGTTGTGTTCGCTTCTGCTTCTGGCAACTTCAGCTACATTACCAGCTAGAGATGATGCAGCCGCTGCAGGTTCTAGCAGAAGCGAAGGGGCCCAAAAGGCATCCATAGAAAATGAGAAGAATAAGCAAATAACAAAAGGAGAACTCTGATTAGAATTTTTACATTGATAAAAAAAAAGTTATTTGGCGGAGCAACCCATCTGATTAAAAGAAAACATAGAAATTTAACGCACGTGTGTCTTTTCTTATTGGGCTAATGCTCATGCTAAAGCCTATTGTAAACACTTGCTAATGTGATGATACAACTGGCACACTAACGCAAGAAGAAGGTCGTCATCCGAGCCAAGAAGTCCAACTGCCAGTGTCCGCAATTCCGCATCATCAGAGAGAAGAAGGGACCCATGGCCAGAAGTCCGTTGCTGCCAGGTGGGCCCGGGATAGGAGTGAGTGTGAGTGCGCCCCCACCCCAACCCACTTCACAGACACGGACAGAGCCAGAGGCCACCCACAAACGCGGCGCGCAGGCAGGCAGGCCGCCACGCCACTTCGCCTGGTCTGGCCGGTTCCTTCCTTCCCGCTTCCCTCGTCAACCGAAACCAACTCGTGAGGTCTCCTCCCCATCGCCACGCCACGCGCCGCGCACCGCCCGCCCGCCCGCCCTGCCGCCCCGAATCTCTCGAGCCCGCGCGCCATCCGATCCCTAATCGATCGGCCCGACCCTAGCCCGCCGCCGGCCAACGCCCGCCCGCCTCGGCTCGGCTCGATCAGACGCCCCCAGGGGAGCGAGGCCTCGATGGCGGCGGACCCCCCGATGCCCCGCCTCCCGGCCCCTCCGGCGGCGGAGGCATGAGCCGGCGGGGACTCGCCGGAGCTGCCAGCCATGGACGCCACCGCGCGCCCAGCCATCGTCATCGACAACGGCACAGGGTAACCCGTAACCCCGATCCCCCCCTCCCTCCCTCTCGCGGTCTCGCCAGCTCGCTGTCTCCGACCTCGGAGTCGCTGGTGCCAGTACTGCTCTATCGCCGCGTGATTCCCCCGTGCGCTCGGGGGGTTCTCGCCGAGCTTTTTCAGCCATGATCCCGCGGTTGGCTCCTGAAATGGGTGCCCACTGCCCACTGCCCGTGCCAAGGGATGGGGCCCGTGGCTTTGGTTTGTCGTGGGACATTCTCGTTGTACAGTTTGGAGGCACTAATTAGGTTAGGACAACTCCGTCTAGAATTCTAGATGGTCGGCTGGGATTGGGAGACAGTACCCAAGCCAAGCTGCCTGTTCTGCTCTTGTTGGTTGTGCTGTTGTGCAGTCAGGATAAATCCGTGCAGTTGTGAGGGGAAGAGTTGGGGATTGCTTTGTAATATGGAGAGAACTTTTAGAGTGGTAGCCTTTAGTTTAGTTGGGACTGGTCCTCAGTTTCTCTCCAAGTAAAATGTGAAATTATATCTCTGTCCTGCTTGTGCTGTACTTTATGGTGCATATTAGGCAGATTCCATGGTGACTTTTCCGTACTCTCAGCTCCCAGCAAGTTAGGTTGTATATAAGGGATATGTCTTGAATGCTGGGTTTATGATCTCATGCATCGTTCTCACATTAAGATTCCATATCTTTTTATGAGCAACTAACAAAGTCACGAGAACAGATCCTAAAGTAATAACGGCCACAAACGAATCTTCTTAGGATATAAACAGTAATAATTGATTCTGTATTGCTTTGATTTCTCTGCAATTGCTAAACTATGTCACTTTTGCTGCTTCTTTTTTTGACATACTAACACTTACCGCCTATTTTCTACTATGAGTTTATGACTATCATCATTTCAAGATTTTTATACTCTTATGTTCAGGTATAGCAAACTTGGATTTTCTGGGAACTCAGAGCCGTCTTTCACTCTCCCTACTGTCGTAGCTGCGAACGAATCTTTTCTAGACCAGACAGAGCTGTTGAGTAGTTCAAACTGGATAGCGCAGTATAATGCAGGCATCATGGCTGATCTTGATTTTTTTATTGGAGATGAGGCTCTGTCACGGTTTAGATCTAGTGGGCTGTACACACTAAGAAGTCCAATCCGTCATGGTCAGGTATGTATATACATTTCCTTTTAGTGATGTTGTCCTTTCGTCTGCGTTCTACCCCCATATGCCTTATCCTCTTTCCTGTTGTGCAGGTTCATGACTGGGATACAATGGAGAGATTTTGGCAGCAATGTATTTTCAATTATCTACGTTGCAATCCTGAAGAGCACTATTTCCTTCTTACGGATAGTCCTGTCAGTACACCTGAAAGTCGTGAATGTACAGGAGAAATAATGTTCGAGACCTTCAATGTCCCTGGACTATATATTTCTGTTCAGTCTGTCCTCAGCCTTTCTGCTGGATATGCCTATCTGAAAAGTATTTCTGATGACGATTCAGATACCACGGTAGGTTCTGAAAATACCCCCTTTCGTGCTTTGTTTATCAAGTATTTATTACTGCGTAAACCGCATCTTCTTGATTGCCATTCATTGCTTTTATTGATCTTTTTTTTTTTAAAAATGGGAAATGTAAAGTTATTGTAGTGATCTCATGCCCTCACAAAGGTCGGCCACCCCTTTACATTATATATGTTTCTTTGAATCATGATGTGTCTTAATAACGTCAGCAGCATAATATTTATATATAATCTGTTTCTTGTCAAATTCTGGAACTCATGATTGAGGGCAGGCATTTGTAGTTCCTAGCAATCACTGTTTATTGTTCCAATCTCTTAACCCTTTTTCATTTAATACCTATAAATTCTGTGGTAGAGCACATTGCTTCTCATTAACTTTGGCCAATATACTTTGTCAGTCTGATATGACAGGAGTAGTAGTTGATATTGGGGATGGAGCTCCACAAGTTGTGCCAGTTGTAAATGGCTATGTAATTGGGAGTAGCATAAAGTCTTTTCCTTTTTCCGGAAGTGATGTAACCCAGTTTGTTTCGCAGCTTTTACAGGTACATCATGCACTCCAAATTTTGTTGTAATTACTTTCAGATGCAAAATTTCTCGTATTGTTCCTAATTAGGGCTGTATCGATATCCGGTTCTGTGCTCTTAAATCAAAGGTTTATTTTAGCATTATAATAAACTTGGTGTTTTTTTTACACCAAGCAGACATATTTACATATTGTTTCAATATGCTTTGCATAGGAAAAATGTAATGATTGAGTTTTATGGATGCCAACAACAAGTATTGTAAAATGCGAGAATATTGATCTGGATTGCTCAACAAGATTGATTATTAGATAAGACTGCAGGTTGGTTAATGTCAGTGGGAATGCTGCCTGCTGCATGGAAACAGGGGCAAAACCAGGCTATTTTAGTGCTGCGACTGGGGACAGCAATGGATATTTTGATATCCCAGGCTAAAATGTTGTTGATCCAAAAAAACAAGACCAATAATGATGCTTTTGAACAGTAGTGACATCTATGATTCTCTATCCTGGATCCGCTCATGTGGCAAGTCCGCAAGTGAAACGTAGATTGGGTCGACCCTAGATATTTTTTTACTGGATTGCTTGTTATTATTAATGCTAGTGTTACTCTTGTTTTATGTACAGAGATGATGTGTGGATGAATTAGCATAGCTCGTACTCAGTTATGTTATATTAATCCATTCACATTGTTAATGACAATACCTTAAAATGTTGGCCAGCCTTGTCTCAGGAAATCAAGTTTTGACCCTCCAAAGTGTTAGCGTGCAGATCATACATTATCACTAGAAATTCAATCAGTAACACATAAAATCCGGATACTTGTTATTTTGGCCATTCTTCTAGAATAAAGTGAATGGTATGTTATTCATTAATTCCTATTCCCTCTGTTCCAAATTATAAGTCGTTTTGGCTTTTCTAAATATATAGTTTTTGCTATGCACCTAGAACGCTATGTCTAGATAATAGCAAAAGCTATGTACCTAGAAAAAACAAAACGACTTATAATTTTGAACGGAGAGAGTATATAGTATTTGAATGCCATCCTATCCTTGACTATTATTGTGTGATTGGGAAAAATATTTACTTGAAAATGGGGAATTCTCATATTACCATGATTAGCCACCTGGTGAGAAATTGCATCTGACTGCAGAACCATATTCGCATTTAGAGTTGTACTGATTGGTATTAGTCCTTTATGCTCTCAATATTTACTTCTACTTTTGAGGTATTCTCTTGTGGTCCTCTGTAAAAGCTGGATGGATTTTCTCAGGCGCATGGATGCTGTCCTGCTGATGGTGTATTACATTATAAGTTCTGTTATTGACTAGTGTCATCTGGTGGTTTTGCAGGAAAGAGGTGAGCTTTTGCCACCTGAGGATTCTTTAGATATATCTCGTAAAGTGAAAGAAATGTATTGCTATACTTGTTCAGACATTGTCAAGGTATTGACTTTTTATTATCCATTGGTCTTCAACTCTTCAGAACTAGTAAAATTGTTTAATGGGAGTTGAAGTCCCCATAATGAAGTTAAACATGCTTGTAAAACTTGTTCCCTGTGTAAATACTACTTTTGACCTGGTTGGAGAATCTGTTTAATGTTATTTTATGTTTGCTTGTGTTGCTTAACAATGACTGTAGATACCTTTTGGTCTTCAGCTTCTCAACATGTAGACTAATTTTATGCATTGTTTTCTTTTACAAATATATATGTGGCAAGTTTGATATAAGTAGTACTTCTAGCAAGAGGCCATACAGTAGGTATCTATGTTAAACAAACAGAAAGATTTAGATTCTTATGCATCTCCATTACAATTTCAGGAGTTCAAGAAGCATGACAAGAAGCCTGATAAGTACATCAAACATTGGACAGCTGTTAAACCAAAGACTGGGGTCCCATATACAATTGACATTGGATATGAACGCTTTCTTGGGCCAGAGGTTTATTCCTATTTCTGTCATCAAAACTGCAATAGTCTGTCATCAAAACTGCAATAGTTTTTTTGTTCCCAAACTATTCATCCAAAATGGTATAATATTATGGCTAACAATCATCTTTTGAGTGTCAATTACACTGTGTTGCAGTGATGAATTTATTATAGCTTTTGATCTTACATTACTCTGATAATTCATATATTGTAAATACATTGAAAGCTAAGAAATTTAGCTCATTGTTGCTGTAAATTAAGAGATAAGATTCATACAAGATATCCGGGTTTCTTGTGAGCATTTCTTTCTGTTAATTGTGTAGTAAAGGAACTGGTTAACAATGTGAATGTACAGACTTCACTGCATGGCCATTTCACACTGTACTTATTCTTATCCTGTGGCAATATCAATGGAGTTCATGGGAACACGGATCAAGGATTGCCAATCTGCCGTTCATATGATTTCTGCACTATTTGTTTCTATGAACTGTAGTCATTTACATTGTCATACTGAACTAAAGCTTCATATTAGAATGTAACATTTATGACCAACTTGAAGAATGAGGTCACATCAATGAATGGATTTGTAGATGTAGAGTTGCGGATGACAGTCTTGCATACTTATAGAAGCATCTTTTGGCATATAGATTTGCTACTATTTAGGAACTGAGATCATGGTTTACTTGGTTCATCCACAAAATGAAATACTTGCCAATTGCTATTATTCTCTGGAACTGTCTTAACCTTTGGCACTATCTTGGTTCATTACCTCCTTGTAGTTACTATATAAACATCGGTCTCTACCTCCAATGGAATACTACCATGTGCATCATTTTTACACTGTCAAGTGATATCGATAAGCTTTTGTAGTAGTTCAGAATTGTTCCTGTACATCATGGGTATGAAATTGGCACTAAAAAATGGGTGTTATCAAATATATCTTGAAAAGGTTATTAGGTGCTAGAAATTATAAGCGTGTTTTGCCTTGAGCTTAATTTTGTTGGTATTTAACCTTTTTGTTAGAATAAACTTTTAACTTTGTACAGTTGGTCATGATTTTTTAAAGTTGGAATTAAGTGTGCATCTCTAACCATCTACCAACAAATGCAGATCTTCTTCAATCCTGAGATTTACTCTGCCGATTTCTCCACTCCTTTACCTGAGTTGATTGATAACTGTGTTCAGTCTGCACCAATTGACACAAGGAGAGCTCTGTACAAGGTGCTTTCTTCAAACCCTGCATGGATATCTAAGATGGGAAGTGATATATGTGAATGCTGTGACATTTATCAGAATTCTATATATATATTTTTTTTGCAGAATATAGTATTATCTGGTGGATCTACCATGTTTAAAGACTTCCACAAGAGACTCCAAAATGATATAAAGAAGATAGTGGATGAGCGTGTTGCTGCGACTAATGCCCGTCATCGTGTGGAAGTGAAAGTAAGTACAGATGATTGATTCGCAGTCGCCATTTAATATACTGTTGTAGTCGATAGGCTACATGTGAATAATGTTATGTGCTTTGTACTGCCATTTAATTTGACCTTTTCCCTGTTGTCAGCCTATTGAAGTCAACGTGGTTGCTCATCCAATACAGAGTTACGCAGTTTGGTTCGGGGGGTCAGTAGCTGCATCTAACCCTGAATTCTTTGAGGTACCTGCCACTTGACATTCTAGGGGCCTCAATAAACTGGCAATCTTCAGTAATCATGCCTGTATTTCTGCTATCTGATATAAATTTATAATGCCACTAAAATGTGGTGAATTGCAATGCGTGAGTTCATAACGCTATAAAGCAGTGTTATAACTGAGTTATGAACATGGTTATGTATACAATTATTCCTCGTGAATTCATTTTGTGCGAATGAAATCTAAGTGATTTCCCTTTTCCCATGCAGTTTTGCCACACAAAGGAGGAATACGAGGAACATGGAGCCAGCATCTGCAGAACAAGCCCGGTTTTCAAAGGAATGTACTGAATTTTCCTCACAACCCATCCTCTAGTAGGAGAGCTCATTTAGGTTTCTTCGATAGAATATAGTCAATTTTGATTCTTTTTGGTCCGTTCCAACCATTGTCGGGCCACCCTGACTAGATTTGTAGCTCTGTTTGTACTTGTTTGTTCTGTGTTCTGCGTCGAATGTTGTGTATAGCCAATAGCTTGGTTCCTGTTCGAGGTGCTTGATTGTAGCCAAAACCTTGGACAGTTTAGAGGAAAAATATTGGTTATTCTTTTACATTAGCTTCTTCAGACAGATTTACGGAACTCTTATTAATAAGAAGTCAGGTTAAATTTAGGACTCTGTTCAACAATACCGTGTGTGGACTAAAGAAATTTGTCGTGGATGATCTTGAATAGAAGCAGAGCACCTTATTTCAATTAAATAATATGGTATCCCTACTTTCACAATTCATCTCGTCAATCATTTTTATGTTGTTGTTGTAGATAACCTATCCCAACTTGCTTGGGACTGAGACTGGAAGGCTAAGTTGTTGTTGTATATATACATTTAAATGACCGTTCCATGACTTAAAAAATGTAGAAAAAATACTTTTTATATCATATTCGTTTATATATATTAGTACATATACATTGCGTATTATATTATTTATATATATACACGGCATAAAGAATGGAAGCCCCGGATCACTTACCCGCCCAAAACTGTACACGTCACGACCCTAAATGCCTGGATTTTTTTTTGATAGTCTGAATGCCTGGATTGGCAGCGCATATGATTTGCGCTTTCTGGACCAAGACCAAATCTGCCACCATTCCTACCGGTTTCTCTCACTCTGGCGTGCAAACCCCGGCGACCTGTCATCAAATCCCATCTCCTAACTGATCCTGAACCTGAATGCTTCAATCTGTACAACGCAGATTCGCAACGGTGTCGTAATCATGGAAACCCGATGTAGCTGTGTACCAGTGTCTTGGCCGGGATCACAACGGTCTTGCTAAGCACGAAGAGCACAAGAGTTAACTCGAGCATCAGGATGGTGTTTAGGAATGCTCGGTCAACGATCCAGCCAAATATTGTGATGCCGCCCGGGTTGGCCAGCAGGTACAGAACTGAAAATCATGCAGAGGAGAAGCAGAGCATAAGCACTGAAATGATGTGGATATTGTAGAGCATGATCTTCAAACTATCACATTGGATGGTTGAAGATTAAGCATGAGAATGAACGCCAGCTTTATATTACTTACCAAGCGATTCCCTCTTGTGGTACGAAGACATGTACGAAGCCAACTGAGCTGTGCCGTGAGAATTGCCATGAAGCGACCCACTGTCCAGGGACTCCAGATCACTTTCCGAGAAATCTCTCAGAAACAGATGCGCAGGAAAGGGCACAAGGTTCCCTGAACTGTTTGGGGTGGTCACATAAGTAGAATCAGTAGAGCATGTTGCTAACGCATGCCATCGACTAGCCAATGAAGCAATGTTTTGAGCTCTATGGGAGATCTTAGCAGCAGCGTGCAAACAGAGGACAAGGCCGACAACTTGAACAACCGAAGACACCTGTGGTATAAGAGGAAATCTGCTCATGACTCTGATTTCGCAACACATAATGATGAACAAAAAGTTAATGTAAAAGCATGAGGTACTCACAGCAATGTCACCTCCATTGGTGAAATTGATTGGCCCGCTGTAAGCTGTCGTCTTGAAAAGAATGGCAAATTGGCTTGCTGTAACAGAAAAGAAGAGCAGCAAGAGGAACATGCGGAACCTGTGGCTGATTTTGGAGAGATTGTGGCGGAGCTGCAGGTGCTCTTTCAAATAGACCAGAGGATCTGCATCTTGCTCCAGAAGCTTGCCATAGTCATCGAAGTGGATAACTTGCAGATTGCAGACCAAATTGAAAAGCATGCAGGACGACAATATGATCGTTGTCAAGTACATCCATGACATGATGGAAGCAAAAAATACAACGCAGGCTCTCCAAACTGACTCCTGGAAGATGTGGGAGAAGCGGAAGAATTCCCGGGTGACCTTCACAACAAAACATGGCACTATCCACCATGTAAGAGTGCGGAAGAAGTCCTGTGGCAAGGGGTTGCAACACTTGTCAACATAAAATTAGATACACCAAAGGTCTTAGTATGATGCAAGATTAATGGATGATATGATAGATGTCATATTAAAAATTAAGTTTTCCAATTTAAAATTTTAAATTAATTTCCACTAGAATTCTCAAGGTAAATCTTGGAAGGGCAAGAGCCGTTCTTCAGTCAGACCACTTCCATAGGAAATGGAAATGTGTACTTCATTTAACAAAAAAAATCATAATGGTAATAACAAAGCAAAGGAAATACTACAGGTTCTTGTTCCATATCCCAAATCCTTGACCAGCCCCTAACATGCAATTCCGTGTATAAACAGTGAAGAAAGACAACTAGACATGTCGGCACAAATACAAACTGAGTACCACACGCACATGAGCTCCACTCACATGGTAACATAAAGGAGGCACATGTAGATCACATAGGTAACTGAAAGAATAAGCCACTTCAGTAAGGACAAAGCCAGATCCAGGGCGGCACAGACTACACAAGGAACTTTAGGATTAAACAAGCAATTTTAGGATCTGTAGCTCCATTCGTTATAGGTAAGATGACTAGACATCTATCATCTCACAGACATGTATGCCCCCCTGGCTCCACATGTCAATGTACCATGCAACAGAAAATTCAGAAGTGCCAATCAAAGATCTAGACATGAGGTTTCAGTAGAAGCCGCTAGAGACTGCAACACGCAAGCATCCAAATAAACATTATAAGCACAAAATGACAATCAGAGCCTTAATATTCTCCAAGTCTCCTAGTAACACTCAAATGGCACCTGAATTCAACAATTCCACCTTGAGATGCATAAAGTTACACCAAATTTGGTCAAAATGGGACAAATTTGCACCTAATTATCCACTAGTGGAGGCAGCAGTAAGTAGAAGTATCAGACGTGACACGAGTAGTGACCATTTATAGCAACTGCTCTCACTATCGGATTTGGACACTGCTCCTAGCATTCGATTTTAACTGCTTCCCGTATTAATACAAATTCAAATAAATCCGAAGCAGGGACTGGATAGCGAGGAATCCCAACGAGATCGCGCAGGCAACATCACATCACCTCAGTACGACAGTACCTCACCTGGATCTTGGCGACGTACTCCTTCTGGAATCGGATCCTCATGCCGAGGTCCGGGTCGACGAAGAGGAACTTGCGGAGGCCGTACATGGCCATCTTCCGGGAGACGCAGGCGAGCGCGACGGCGGCGGCGGCCGCCTGCGAGAGCAGGACGCAGACCTCGAACACCTCGACCTCGAAGTCGTCGCAGGAGCCTCTGCGGGCGCGGCACGGGGAGAGCGTGACGGCCGCGGCGGGAAGCGCCAGGCCGAACACGGCGAGCGCGGAGGCCGCCGCGGCCACGCCCAGCGGCGTGGACGCCGCCAGCCCCGCCGCCGACAGGAACGCCTCGAGGCGGCGCAGCCACCGCGAGAGCGGCGCGTCCGTGCCTGGCGCCGCGGGCTCCAGCAGCGGCGAGGAGATCGCCGCGTGGGTCGGGCTCGGGGTTGGGGTCTCGGCCGGTGGCCGCGACGGAGACGGCGGCGGGCGAGGCCCGGCGAGGCCGTCGCCGGTGGAGGCCATGCGGGCCGGCCGCGGGCGGGAAAGAAAAGTAACTGGCCTCGCCGGAGGGTCAGGTCAGAGCTGTAAAATGCCGGCGGTTGAGGGGTCGACTTGGTCTGGTCGGCACGAGGAGGAAGTGGGCCTTTTAAGACTCGCGGTGGAGTGCCAGGTGGGTTCGAGTCGAGGGAGGGATTTGTGCTTTGCTTGGGCCTCGGGGTCGGGGTCGGGGTCGAGACCTCCCGAGACGGCGTCGGGAGGAAAGGACACGTGGCGTGAGGGAGACGAATGATGCCAGAAGGATCCCGCCTGGCTGGCTGAGGTGTGCGCAGCTGCCCGAGGGCAGGCGCAAAGCTAGTGAAAGCAATTTTTATCCACTTGAAAGCAAAACCAGTGATGGTATGCACTCTCTATAGCAATTAGCAACAACTAGTCCGAGTATGTTTCACAAAACAATGTAATTATGGGATGCGTGCCGATCAAAGAAACTAAGTTTGATTAAGTTTATAGCAAATGTTATTAGCATTTATGTTTTCAAATAAATTTATTATAAAAATATATTCTATAATTAATCTAATGGTAGTTATTTTGTATCATAAATGTTTATACTTTTTTATATAGATTTAGTCTAAATTCAAACTGTTTGACTTCTCAAAAAAACGAGAATTGTATTCTTTTATGGGGACGGAGAAAGTACATTGATAGATAGTAATATACGAGGAGATGAGGGGCACGTTTGGTTCTCTGCTCAGCTGGCCTCACCTTGCCAGTCCAGGAGAGCCGTTTTGGCTCTCCTGTGCTAACAAGGAAAATCTCGCTTGCATAGAAATCGAGACAGTCAGATTTACTGTGTAACTTCGCTTGGCAAGGTTACACCGTACCTGACAATAGATCCAAACATCTCCGTGGTCACTCTCACTCCTACCGTCGGCACTACTAACACATGGCAGTCAGCCATTGATGGACACGGTACATATACATATACTCCCTCCATCTCACAAAGATACGAATGCAACTCGTAAATGGCCAAATGCATTTAAAAAAGCTACGTAGCCTATAGTGTGTGTTTTCTCAGTGGGTTGGAGTAGAAAGCTCTACGTGCGACACTCATTTTGGGACAAAAATAAATGTTAGAATAACACTTTTTATATAACAGAAATAATACTGACCGGACAAGTATGCGCTTGTCTTTTCATCGCCTTCGGATCAGCATAGAGCATGTCGCCTCTCGTTTATAAATGTTCAGTAAGTTTAGGCCTTATTTGTGCTGCATATCTTGACAGTATGGCCATTTCCCTAACAACTTGTTTTGTCTGCATGACTGCATCCAAGTCATGGTTTCGTTCTTGCGCATGGGTGCCCCAGTCAAAGGCTCAAAACCGATGAAACACACAACCCAACAGAATTAGCACGTCAACATCCACAACGCGTGTGATTGCATGCGTTTGTCAGGTCGGGGCGGGTCCCTTCCTAAACGCGCTACCCAATCGATCGTCGTTGCATTGCACGCCATATAAATATAAATAAATATAATAATGTCTGCAGAAAAATGGCTCTCTGCACCCACTCGCTGCCGCGCCGTTCTCCGAGCCGCCCAGGGATGGACAACGCGCCAGGTCGCTGCTGCCACTCCCTCCCCCCTCCGCAACCCCCGCCGGAGACGAGGACGACAGCAGCGGCTCCAGCGAGGTCGGTGGGTCCTTCTCGGGATCTAAGCCCTTCTCCTTCTCCTCCTCCTCTGGATCTGAGCGATCCTCCTTCCTCCGGCGAGCTCGAAGGTGATGGGCCGGTGGCTGTTTCGTACGCTTTTTTTGTTTTTTTCCTATTTTGCAATGGGTTTTTTTATGTTACAACAGATGATTTCGAATGTTGCAATGGGATTTTTTGGGATGTTTTTGCAATATTGCAATACTACTGCTTGAAATGTTGCAGTACATAATTTTTGATGTTGCAGTACATATTCTTGATGTTGCAGTACATATTTTTTCAATGTTGCACTACATGTTTTTCATTGTTGCAGTACATATTTTTCGATATTACAGTGCATGTTTTTTAATGTCGCACTACATATTTTTGCGATGTTGCGGTATTTATATCCCGGTGTTGCACTACATAGTTTGCCCATATATTTGCAATGTTGCACTTGAAGTGTTTCATGCTCTTTTGGGACATGGGCGCGGTGGGAGAACGGGGTGTGTTGGGGAATGAGGACAGGGGCGCGGTGGGGAGCGAAGGATAGGGGCGGGTTCCGTTCTGTACACGGGGGGCATGCGGGCTTTGGGAAGGGACCGGCGTCCGAACGCACTTGTGCGTCGGACGTCCGGGCATTAGAATCACCGTTACGACGTTGCTTATGGTTCCTTTTGTCAGGCACCAACAACACACCTCTCCTGGATGCAGGGATATATATTCAGCAAAATCAAAGGAATGCACACATGCGTGTACGAAAACTTAAAAGCAAACAAACAAAAGGAAAATGAGCTACATATATGGCACTGTCAGATTTACCAGAATACCCGTGCACTGCATGCATTTGCGGTGGGAGTTGGTGACCGTGCAGCTTGCATGGCCGCAACAGCGACGGCTCATCGCCGGTTGTCCATCCGCCACCGCCTATTCAACAACTGATGATGACAGTGGTGCCGAAAGCTCTTTCAGAGTTCAGAGTCACTAATTAAAGAAGACGGTGAGCTGAGGCTAGAGGCTCACGTAATTAGTCAGTGTTAAACATGACAGCCCCCTGTAAACGCCCGTAATGTTTCTGTTCGGCTGATACATAAGCCAGCTGAAACTGTTTTTGTTGTGAGAGAAAAATATTGTAGATTCTAAATAATAAGATAAGTTCAAACAAACAGGGCCTATATGTGAGTCGCCATCATCCGGCGTGTGTGTCCTCTCCGATCCCCAAACAGCTAAAGCTGGGCTGGATCCGCGTCATCATCAGAAAGGAAAAAAAGCTATAAGAATTCATATCGTTGTTCCTACGGATCTGGTGATTATTATTCTAGCAGGCCAAGCTAATTCTTCATCTTGGAAAATCAGCTCTATATTTTTTTTTGCACGCAAAAGATGTACTCCTACATGAGAAGAGAAAAAGGATGCAATAATTGATAATATTTCAATGCAATTACATTTGGGGAGAACATTTCTGCCCATAATGAATTCAGAAAACTGGACTTTTTTTTGTCATGCTCAGTGATGGCAGAACAAAACTGTACAAACAAATGTCTAACAATTGAGTCCGGTGATTTTGCCACTGACAGGTGGGTCCGAGCCCACCGGTCAACGGCGATATCGACAGCAGAAAGGATCCGGCGGCGCCGGCAAACGGTGTGGCCAGTTGCTTGACGCGATGGGCGATGGCGAACAAAAGTGGCAGCCTGCAGTTGAGGGAAAACATCCATAAGGCTTGCCGGTGCTTGCATGATTACGATGTCGATAATGATACTGTGCGACGTCCGTGCATTTTTTTAATACATTTTTTTAACTAATTTTAAAACTAACACTGTTTATTTTTTTTAAATCTAACACTTTTTACCGCGCCTATTCGCACGGCGCCACGATTTAACGCTGCCGCGCCATGCATGGGGACGCAGCGAGGCTTCCCACGTGGCAGTGACCAGGGCCCCTGACCGGTGACGTGGTCGACTCTGCCGCGCCATCGATCAGGGCGCGGCGGTGACGCGCCACGCATCATGGCGCGGTAGTGGCGTGCCACCGTCCAAGGCGCGACAGAGCCTAATATAGGCCCGCGGCCCAGTCCCGCCCCTCCCTCTCTGTTTCAGTCGCCAGGGCACAGCAGCCGCCTCCGTGCCGCCCTGCCCCCGCCGGCGCGCCTCCCAGCCCGCACCGCCGCGCCATTGCCTCCCGGCTCCCCCACAGCCGGCCGCCGAATTTCCCTCCCTTGGTGTTCCCCTCCATATCTTCCCCGAAGCTCCTCCTCGGCCTTGTCAAGGTAATGAAGCTCCTCCTCGGCCTCCACGGTGGATCGAATGATTTGAATGAGTAGGTAGGGTATGGAGGAAAATATGTGTTCGTTAGAACGTTGGATTGAAGGATTAGGACTAGGATTGCCAATGTTGAGGTTAATTGGTTAGTTAGAATTATGATTACCATGTATTTTACTTGTTTGAGTTTGCATCTCTACTTTTATATGTGAATAAATATATGGACACATTGTTAATGTACCAAAATTTATTTTTTACTGACCAAAGTATAGTTTTTATATAGTTTTTATGTTTGCATCTAAGATAGAGTTTGCAACAAAGTGTAGGTTATATTTTATTTGTTGTAATGCAAATGATTCTTATTGATATTAATTTGTGATGTTTTGATTTTTGTTTGTTAAATTACAACCGTTTTGTTAGATGCAAGAAATATATCGGGAGGAGTTTTGGTGAAAATGGGGTCGTCCTCGAGAATTATACCCTGACGCGTCTAGCAAAGATGCCCCCGTCCCTCCTGACCTCCCTGTCTCTAACTGTGACTGTGGTTTCCCGACCGACGTGTTTCAATCAAGACATCCAGACACAGCGGCGTGTTGCTTCTACACATGCAGTCGTTTTAATGTAAGTAATTATTTCCACTATCTTTTTTTCTTTATTTATGTAAGTAGGCTACTAATATTTGATTGGAATCTTGTTGTGTAGGCCCATGAGAGGTGCTTTTTCTTTCAGTGGATCGACGGTGCAGAGAAGTTTGACCCTAGATACCTCCTTTTCGACGATTGGTGTAGAGGGAGACATCCACGTGAGCACTTCCAGCATTGGGTTCCACCCCCCCTAACCCCCCCTCTAATGACGGCTAAGAAGAAGCACCTAGCCACAATTAGACGACTTGAGAAACCTCCTCTGTACAAATGCGGAGATCGAGTTGTGATAAACCGTGAGAATACGTTGGAGCTTGTGTGTCCGAACAAACACGAAGTAAGTGGAAAGTGTATCTGTTTAAATGTTTATCTCTATAGGTGTGTTGTACTAATGTATTCTCTTGTAGCGTTATGGATTTGCAAAGTGTCGTTTCAA